TGTGGGGAGATCAATTAATCCATCACCAATAGCTTAGGAAACAAGATCAAGAAACTAAACATCTAATAAATAGATACAAGGAGAAAGATCAAATAAAGCCCCATGACAGAGAACAACCCATTTTTAGCAGATATCCATCTAATTTCAGAAAATATGGACACAGAACAGGGCTTCTGCTGAAGATCTTAAACAGCCAGGCAGGATGAAAGCACTTTGTTACTCTGGTCCCATGTCATACATGGCTTTAAAAGGTAGGAATCAGCACTTTGTATCATACTGCATCATGCCAATGAAAAATCAAGACTGACAAGATGTGCCCTTAGTAACCTATTTTAGTCAGCAACCTCTCCGTTGCATTCTAGCCCAAATGACATTTCTGAACCATTTTCAAGAACAGCCCCATGTGAAGTGCACTGCACTAAAATGATTGTTAATGTGGTGAAATGGCATGACAGACTAGGACACGGAATCCTTGCTCAGTCATGAAGCTCACCAAGTGACTTTGGCAAATCACTCTTTCTCAACCAAACTTATATTGGAAAATTATTGGAAAAATAAACTAGGGAGTAGGAGAACCTGTGAATCTTAAAAGAAAAGGACGATATGGGATAAAATTATCTAATTAAAAATATAATTGTATATTTCTATGGGATGTGGCATGCCAATGATCCATCAAGGCAACTCTTATAACTGACCTGTCAATATGCTTTCTTTCATGGGCTTCTGCATGTATATACACAGATGTGAAATAAGCATTTTTATAAGAGTTAATGCCCAAATCTCCTTGTTTTCCTCTTCCCTTTTGCATTACGTTATTTTCAACTGTAAACTGTTTGAATGTAAATGGGAGACAGGTGGTGTATCAAGCCCATGGGGTTCTAATCTGATCCATTTTAAATACCACAATGCACTTTACACGGTGGTGCCTTTGAAAACTGTTCGGAAACGCCATCTAATCCAAAATGCAGCTGCAGCCCAGCTATTGACATGAGCTAAACACAAGGATCTTATCACCACTCTGTTAAAAGATCTGCACTGGATGCCCGTCTGCTGCCAGGACCGATTCAAAGTGGTGGCTCTTACCTCTAAAGCCCTAGAAGGCTTAGGGTCAGCATAACTAAAGGATCACCTCCTCTAGCCTATCACTCAAGGTCCTCTTCCTGAGTCATGCTTTCTGCTCCCTTCCACAGAAGTGAGGCAGGTGATGACCAGAGACAGAGGTTATTTAGTGGTGGCACCTCATTTCTTGAATACATTACTGTGCTTTAGCTGCCAGGCCAAGGTCATTGAATGTTGTTCTATGCTGGTTTTGTGGGTTTTATATTACTGGTTTTACTGGCAATTCATAAGTTGTTTTATTATATTGTTTCTATTTTGTAAGCCACCTGTGCAGGTCTCTGTAGAGGTAGGATATAATAAATAAAATACACAGGCTGCTGTATTTACAGTGAGCCGCTAAAGTGGATGTTTCTGTGTCTGAGCCTTTAATAATCATGTAGATAAACCAATTTACACCTAATCTGCACACGCAACAGAATGAGGTGGAAGAATTCTGAGGTAGTATACAATGAGCCACACCACTGCAGACAGGGAGAGCCTCGTTTTTAATGTTCCTCCACGTAAAAACTTTCAACATACTAAGGTTTGGCCCACCAGGGAGGAAGGAGATAGCACAGTCCTTCCCATGATATGACAGTTCTCCATTTACACGGGATTACGAACAATATACATCTCCCCTGCCCGCTCCCTCAGTGTTCTACCACCTCAGTTTCAAGGGACATCTAGGTCGAGCCACGGCCAAGAGGGACACGACTCCTCCCCGGCCTGGGAACAATAAACAGGCTCGTCGCCCTGTGCTTTAAAGAGCGCCCCCGCCCCCTCCGCCCCCTCCTTTCAGGCAAAGGGCCCCTCACCGCGCTGGTCCCCATATCGGAACCGCTCCAGGGCGATGTTGACGGCGATTTTCACTTCTTCGTCGATGCGAATATCCTTGAGTCCCTTGGCACGGCCACTGCCGGAGCAGGAGGACGACGAGGAGGCGGCTGAGGCAGTGGAGGGGCCCCCGCTGGGCGGGCCGCAGCCTGGAGGCCGAGGGGAGACGCTGCTCGGGCGGGACATCGCCAGCCAACACTCGCGCCCCGCAACTACAGCCGCTGCAAGGGCCGGAGGCGCCCCGCTCCTGAGAAGGAAAGTGAAAGAGCGGAGGGGCGGTGCCTGAGGGACAAGAGGCGGGGCTTCGGGTGGGTCGCGATGACGCCACAGCCTACCCGGCGGGAAAAAGAGGGGAAAGGGAGGGAGGGAAGAAAGGAAGGAGGTGAGGCGGGCCGAGGGGGGCGGGGCCAGAGGAGAGCAGCTGAGCGAGGGCTTTTGCGTGGATTGCGTGAAGATAGCTTGTCCTGGGTCGGACTCCGGGAACCGTCTGACTTTGGAGGTCTTCTTCTCCCTTTACGATAAAGAGGCCGGAGAGAGACTGCGGAGTTCTTCAGATACCGGAAGCGCCTGTTCGTAGAGCCCCCAAACGCTTTCTTCCATTTAAGCTATTTGCGGAGACGGGTTGTCGCTAAGCCTCTGTTGTCTCAAAAATAAAAACAGGAGTCCAGGCTTGCCGCAAGAAACCGGCATACTGTCTTTCTTGCCTTCCTCCCTCCACCTCTTCACATCTGTTGATACGTGTGTAGTGGTTGTAGTGACTAAGTAACGCCATATATCTAATAAGAGTTTGTGTTGCAATAAGTCCGATAAGGTGCCGCTAGACTCCCCCCCCCCCTTTAATTTGTGAAAGTACCGTTTTAGAAGGCTCAAGCCTTATTGAAAATCGACCCCGGGGTGGGGGGCTGAAAAAGTTTTACTCATAAATATACCAAGTTGTCATGAGTGAGTGTGCCAGCTTTCATTGTACCATAATGTAGTGGTTAAACCTGGGAGACTCAGATTTGACTCCCCAGTCTGCACCCCATGAAAGCTAGCTGGGTGACCTTGGACCAGTCAGGCACTCTCAGCATAACCTACCACAGGATGTTATTGTGAAGATAAAGAAAAAAGTAAAAGCCGGATCTACATGGATCCTCGTGAATCCTCTTTTTTTTCTCAACGAACTCCCTCAAATCCAGTATCAAAGGACATGTCAAGACCACAGACTAAAAACCACAAATCCAATACTTTGTAGTACAGCAAAGGCACAAAAACTTGAATCTGAGGAATGAACACATGTTCATGGCCACAGAATACATGATAAAAATCATGCATCCACTGCTTTATAGCACCACCATGGCACAAAAAGATGGCTTCAAAGCCCAAATCCTCTTGGATCCTCACCATGGCAGTACCATGTATTTTGTGATGCAATCTGTGGCCATGGGTGTGATAAGTGATTTCATGGTGAGTTCTGTGTGACCTCACTTGGAATTCATGAGGATCCCTGCCTTGGACCCATCTTTTTATGGATTAGTGGATTAGTGATTTCTGAGGGGCAATCTATGGCCACAGGTGTGATGAGTTATTTGGTGGTGAGTTTGGGGTTGTTGTTATTCAATCACACAGTTGAGTCCAACTCTTTGCGACCCCATGGACCAGCTCCCGCCAGGCCCTCCTGTCCTCCGTAGTTTGCTCAACTTCATATTCGTTGCATCGATAACATTGTCTAACCATTTCATCTTTTGCAGTCCCCTTTTTCTTTTACCTTCAGTCTTTCCCAGCATCAGGGTCTTCTCCAGTGAGTGCTCCCTTCTCATTTGGTGGCCAAAAGTATTTGAGCTTCAGCTTCAGTATCTGGCCTTCCAGGGAACAGTCAGGGTTGATTTCTTTTAGGATTGACTGATTTGATCTCCTTGCAGTCCAACGGACTCTCAAGAGTCTTCTCCAGCACCATAATTCAAAAGCATCCATTCTTCGGTGCTTGGCCTTCCTTATAGTCCAACTCTCACAGCCATACACTACTACTGGGAATACCATTGCTTTGACCATATGGACATTTGTTGGCAGGGTTATGTCTCTACTTTTTATTATGCTGTTTAGGTTTGCCATAGCTTTCCTCCCAAGGAGCAGGCATCTTTTAATTTCATGGCTGCAGTCACCATCTGCAGTGATCTTGGATCCCAGGAACGTGAAGTCTGTCACTGCTTCCATGACATCCCCTTCTAGTTGGCAAGGAGTGATGGGGCCAGATGCCATGATCTTAGTTTTTTTGATGTTGAGTTCCAAGCCAACTTTTGCGCTCTCCTCTTTGACCCTGAGCAAGAGGCTCTTGAGGTCCTCTTTACTTTCTGCCATTAGAGTGGTATCGTCTGCATATCTGAGGTGGTTGATGTTTTTCCCGGCAATCTTAATTCCAGTTTCTGATTCATCCAGGCTGGTATTTTGCATGATATACTCTGCATATAAATTAAATAAGCAGGGTGACAATATACATCCTTGTCATACTCCTTTTCCTATGCTAAACCAATCATTTGTTCTATATCCTGTTCTAATTGTAGCTTCTTGACCATTATACAGGTTTCTCAGGAGACATGTGAGTCTAGTACTCCCATCTCTTTAAGGACTTGCCACAGTTTGTTGTGATCCACACAATCAAAGGCTTTAGCGTAGTCAATGAAACAGAAGTAGATGTTTTTCTGGTACTCCCTTGCTTTCTCCATAATCCAGCGAATGTTGGCAATTTGATCTCTAGTTTTTCTACTTCTTTGAAACCCAGCTTGTACTTCTGGCAGTTCTCTATCCACATACTGCTGAAGCCTAGCTTGTAGGATCTTGAGCATGACCTTGCTAGCATGTGAAATGAGCGCAATTGTGCGATAGTTTGAACATTCCTTGGCATTGCCCTTCTTTGGGATTGGAAGGTAGACTGTCCTTTTCCAATCCTATGGCCACTGTTGCATTTTCCAAATTTGCTGGCATATTGTGCAGCACTTCAACAGCATCATATTGTAAGACTTTGAATAGCTGAACTGGGATACCATCACCTCCACTAGCTTTGTTGTTAGTAGTGCTTCCTAAGGCCCATTTGACTTCACACTCCAGGATGTCTGGCTCGAGGTCAGTGGTCATACCATCATAGTTGTCAAGAACATTGAGGTCCTTCTTGTATAGTTCTGTGTATTCTTGCCATCTATTCCTAATCTCTTCTGCTTCTGTTAGGTCCCTACCGTTTTTGTCCTTTATCATGGCCAGCTTTGCATGGAATGTTCCCTTGATTTCTCCAGTTTTCTTGAAGAGATCTCTAGTCCTTCCCATTCTATTGTTTTCCTCTATTACTTTGCATTGTTCATTCAGGAAGGCCTCCTTATCTCTCCTTGCTGTTCTCTGGAAATCTGCATCATTGGGTTATCTTTCCTTTTCACTTTTGCCTTTCACTTTATTCTTTCCTCTGCTATTTGTTAAGCTTCATCAGACAGCCACTTTGCTTTCTTGCATTTCTTTGTCTTTGGGATGGTGCTGATTGCTGCCTCCTGTACAGTGTCATGAATGTCCATAGTTCTTCAGGCACTCTATCAAATTAAACCCTTAAACCTATTCTTTACCTCCACTGTATATACATCAGGGATGTGATCTAGGTCAAACCTGAATGGCCTAGTGGTTTACCCAACTTTCTTCAGTTTAAGTCTGAATTTTGCAATGAGTAGCTCATGATCTGAGCCAGTCAGCTCCAGGTCTTGTTTGTACTGACTGTATAGAGCTTCTCCATCTTTGACTGCAAATGACATAATCAATCCGATTTCAGTGTTGCTCATCTGGTGATGTCCATGTGTAGAGTTGCCTCTTAGGTTGTTGGAAGAGGGTGTTCGCTATGACCAGCGCGTTCTCAGGACAAAACTCTGTTAACCTTTGCCCGGCTGCCTTCTCCTGTGATGTCTTTTGATAACATGCTGCGTCTTGTTTCCTGTTGCAAGCCAAATGGTGAGGCCACATGGCCTCAATAGCCATGCCATAAACCCACATTCTTTCACACTTTCATGCCAAATGCCAGACCTCATGGCTACACTTTCTGGCCCACTTGCGACCAGTCACCTACACAATGAAGTAGCTGGAGTTTGGGTCAGATGACTGCATGTGGGGTCCCAAACTTATAGCCTATCCCCACACGCAGCTATGGCAACCAACAATTGGGCACACCCATGTCCACTCGCAATTGGCTAATGGTCACATCTAGTTTGTGACTGGAATTGGGGTATAATTGTTTGATCCCTATGGGAGTGAGTTTTCTTCCTGTTCTCAAGTCTCTTGTTCTATTAGCTCTGAGGCTCTTGCTGCCTGTTTTATTGCACCTGAAATGCTGCCTCTTGAGAAACAAAGAGTTGCTTTGTGACTTGGAGCACATGGGGTGCAAAAATGCGATTTCCCTTCAAAATCCCTTGGTACTGGGACTATCTTGGACTGATGAATACTCCTGACTTGGTAACTATGAATCATTAATGTTTAGTTAAGACAAACAGCCCTAGCCTTTGTTATTTTTGTAATCTCTGGTAGTCTATGCTAAGCTCTGTACTGAATAAAGATCCTTCTTATTGCTAATTTGTCTTTGGGGTTGCAACTGAATTACAAGTCTAAATCTTGTGCCTAACCATGACCACATATGCTACCTTGGTAAGAGTGTGCATCTCTGGATAGAGTGGCTACTGTGTTAAATCTCAGATGCTAACTAAGGACTGGAATATCTCCCTTAGGAAAGGCAGGGACTAGTGAAAAGAGGTTCTGGTGGCAAATTGTTGTGAAGACCAGAGATGGTACAGACTGTCTCGTGGCTTGTTGTTTAATGTACTGAAAAGTACAGGATTCCCTCCCATTCCTGGACTGGCCTGGTGTGGAGAAATGCCTGCTCCGGGGTTGTCTTTGAAGCGCCGCGGCCTCGAATAGTCAGAGCAATAAAGCCTGGTTGCCTGAAACAGCCTCAGAATCAGACAACAACCCCCATGGGGTTTCAAGTCTGCTTTTATTGAGGTGAACTTCCCGGATCGTGTTACGGCACAGCTGACCCTGGTACACCGTTCACCTCAATCTCTTCCTCCCCGGCTGTCAGCAACTTTTCTTTATTAGGTCTCTGAACTTTTGACCCACGTTGCTCCAAAGCCAATTGTAGGACGTCTGATTTTTCTACTGATTCCCCTTGCTCTCGCCCCCTCCCCTGTAACCCCCTTTGTCTCCGACGGGCTCTGCCCGTTATCTGTCGCCAGTTATCTG